GATTTAATTAATATTTATTAACAGTTAATAAATTATTTATTAAATACGATTCATTAAATGTTAATGAATAATTGTTAACAGTTAACAAATATTTGTTAACTATTAATAAATACTTATTAACTATCAATAAATGTACTTTCTTCCCAAATAAATATTTGTTGAATGTTAAAAAACATTTATTAAAATTTAATAAATTAAAAAATTGTCTTCAAACAAATTAAATTTCTAATAGTTAATAAATCCTTTCATCAGTTTACATATCTTTATATATAATTGTATATAATAATGTTGGTTACGTTTGTACAATTCTATAGAATTATATAAAATTAGATATGATTATATCCGAACAAAAACAGTTTCACTGTAAAAAAAAGCGCGTTAAGTCCACGTTCATAAGACTATTAAGAGAAAAATTAGTTTTTTTCTTTACAAAAAGATATAAAATAAAAAAATTAAAAAATCAAGTAACCGATATGATTGTTTATGATTTTCGGAAATTAAAAAAAATTTTTTTGTAAATTTAAAAATTAAAAAAACAATTTTGGAACGTACTTGGTGTGCGTCATATTGTGTATTTCAATTTTTTTAAAGTCCTAGTAAATAGATTTTACGAATTTAGTTAAAAGTAAAATATTTTGCAACCACGCACACTAAATACGTTCCAAAATTGTTTTTTTTCGTGATTCAGAAATGGGCCAAAAGTTTGAAAAACGAGAAATGGACTTACCGGATCCAAAAAAGCTAACTGTTGATGGAGTACCTCTACCATACGTACTAGTTGGTGATGAGGCATTCCAATTATCAGATTACTTACTTCGGCCATACCCAGGGAGAAGTGGATTACATCAAGAAAAAAGTATTTTCAATTATCGTTTAAGCCGTGCTCGAAGAACAATCGAAAATGCTTTCGGTATTATGGTTAGTCAGTGGAGAATATTGAGAAAGCCAATGGAAGGCACGGTTGAAAATATTGTAAGTGTATAGTTCAAGCTATTGTATACCTTCACAATTTGATTCGTAAAGGTGAAAATAATGAAGTTAAATGTAATCTGGATCACGAAAATGCCCACGATTGTTTGAATGAGGAGCTTCAGAGAGAAGTTGAAAATAACTCAGCTTTTAGAAAAGTAAGATTTCCTGGAATAAACAATAGCAGTCGCTCTGCAATTACAATTCGAAATGAATTTTGCGATTTCTTCAATGCTGAAGGAGCAGTTCCTTGGCAATATAATCGTTGTTAAAATGGAATAAGTAAACACACACACACACAATATTTGTACATTTAAATGAAAATATTCTTGAATGATTCATACAATTGCATATAATTTTTTTTAAATAATGTCATTTGTAAACATTGACTTTATAACACCAATATGATTTGTACAGTTAAATAAAAAGTTAAAAAACTGAAGTATACTTATAATTAATTTAGTTGCAGTAATTTCTAAGGGCCACCTTTTCAATGCAGAGTTAAAATTAAAGTACGGTCGCAAATATATTCATATGCATGCAATAGATATATCCGGGATGATGATTAAAACCAATCATAAATCGAAAAAAAGGCCTTTAACTTTTCATGAATTTACTTTTGGTAATGCATAGAAAATCAAAGAAAATAAATCAAAATTTAATGATTAAAAAAAAAAAAAAAAGAACAAAAATAATATTAATAACTGCATTTTTTTTTTTGTCATATTAAAAATGTTTTTATTCAATCAGTAAAACAGACATTAAATATCTCTTCATATTTTCACAAACAATAATAATATCTAAATGTTTTGCAATCATTTAAAAATAAAAACATTCTATGATGAGTTTAGATTTTTTTATTATTAAAACGACATCATGAACTTCATAGAAAGAAAATTATTAAATTAGAAAAAACTGAGTGTACTATTGGCAAGATTGAAATCTTAATGGAAAGTAATAGCAATGAGTAAACATTTATTTTTATTAAAAACCGGTGATTAGGTAGATGAATTGTCAATATCAATTGTCAGCAGCGAAACGCCGGCATTTCTGGTGAACCAAATTTAAAATCTCAATTATAGTTTCCATTTTTTGTTGCTGTGGCAATCGTCGCAAATAAGTACCAATTCCTATGTGTATTTATTTTTTTTTATAGGAATTTATTTTTTTTTTTTAAATAAATATAAACAATAAACTAATAAATATATACCAATTCTTTTTGTAGTAAAAAAATAAAAACAATGTGAATGTTCTAATTTTTGTAATTGAGTGCGATTTTTGTAATTGTGACAATAATTTTAACAAATATTTGCTCAACTTTATATGTTTGTAAATAAAAATATTTAAAATTTGTAATTAAAAAAAATCTTGTTATTTTTTTAAATTAGGAATTTAATTTTTTTTTTTAAATAATTATAAAAAATAAACTAATAAATCTATAACAATTCTTTTTGTGGTAAAAAAAAATAAAAAAAATGTGAATGTTCTAATTTTAGTAATTGAGTGCGATTTTTGTAATTGTGACAATAATTTTAACAAATATTTGCTCAGCTTTATATGTTTGTAAATAAATATGATTGCTTTTAAATAAAAATATTCAAAATTTGTAATTAAAAAAAAATCTTTTTATTTTTCTAAATAAGGAATTTAATTATTTTTTTTTTTCAAATAAATATAAAAAATAAACCAATAAGTATATAGCTCTCTCCAAAGTTGTTACTCTCTTCTGTTATTGTCAAATTACTACTAAACATTTTTTATATAACTTTACGAGTTTTTTCAAATATTGATCTTTTAACTTATTAACTCCTTTTTAGAGTCGTATATTATCGCTCTATTTTTCTTTACAATTTATTGCTTTACAATTATAGTTAATAAATGTAAGTACCAAAAAAAAAATATTTTACCCAAACCAAAAACTTTTTTTCAGTTTTTTTTTTTTATAAGAAAATTTATTCTATACCCGAAATTTTTTTTTGTCCTTTGAAATTAATATAATAAAATTCTGAAGATCAACTTCTAATTTAAATTAGTTTACCGAAAAAATAATTCCGTGTCACCGAGGAATCGAACCCGGTATTATCTCCGCCACAGGCCCAAGGTTTATCCCCTTACGCCATCAGAGGGAATATCTATACATTTTGTTCAGTCACATAATAAAAACCCTCCATACAGTATGTAGTTGGTCATCTTTCGGTGGTGGCGTCGCAAACTACTAGACTCTGTCTCTCTTTTATTAAAACATATAGTATGCGTTCTTATTCACTTGCTCTTACGGAAAAAAAATTTACTAAATAACATCGTAATTTTTAATATTTCAAATTGTATTCTGTAGACGGCAGCATCATAAAAATCGAGATACTGAAAGCCTAGTCCTGGAATACGATGTTACTATAGTAATTTTTCATAGGATTTTTTTTCCGTGTATGGTAAGCTATACTTGGAAATTTAAGAGAAGACGCTCGAAACTTTTTAATACTAAATTTGCTTATTAAATAAAATAAAAGGAAATAAAAGCACTTGGAAAATATATACTCTGTTAGATCTACTTTTATGAATAATTTTAGACTTTAAAAGTGTTCTGATAAATTAATTTTCGCGCGAAAAAAAAATCTTTTAGTTTTACATAGACGATGGAGAACTTAAAGAATCATTTTTGTTTAAAATTGTCAAACAATTGAAAAATAGTAGAGTGAAAAAAGAATGAGATTTTTTATTTATCTTAATATTTATCAATAAATATTAAGATCCATATGATTCACAAGAGTTACGAACGTTTTTGATTTTTTCATTTTGGATAAGCGATTATCAAGATAACTACACCGCCAGTAACTTATAAGTTTTAGGGTATGCCAAATTTTTCGAGCAATTTCATTTGTCTGCGATTGACACATTTAAAAAACGATGAAAAAAATAAATTAATACATTTTTTACGTATCTCAACCGTGGAATATGTTGAGCTCAAATTTTATATTAATATTTACAATTATAATTTCTTAAAAATTTAGTTTTATTTTTTGAGCACCTTATCAAGAATGGCCCCTTAATGCATGCATTGACACAGAAAAATTATCTTGATTCAGGAGAAATCAATTCAATCTTGATGCGCAAATCTTTTTTTTTTAAACAACTGATTGTTCTAACTTCAAGTATTCATTTTCTTAAACTTGTCGTTTTGGCTTAAGTGAAGAATTTCCTGCTTTCCATGCCAAGAGTTTTAATCTATTGATTTAGTTTGTGAACGTATTGAACTCAAAATATCTTATGATAGAGAATATTATATTATGCAGAAAATACTTTTCTTCAATTAAGTTTTTTTGATGTATTAGTTAATTAAAATGTGACAATTATGCAACAAATTCTTCTATTGCAGCTATTTGTATTATTTTTCACTTGTCATTTAAATTCTTTAATTTCAATATCGTGTTTTAATCAACAATATTGCTTTTAGAATATTTATTAAAAAATTTGTGCAAGCATTGATTTTCCCTCCATATATTTTATTTAAAAATATTTAATTTTTCACGGCAAAGCTAGCTAAAGTGATATTGACGTACATAAATGAAAAAACAAAATTTTTTTTAGAAGATACAAATGCAAATATTAAATGAATAAAATATCGAATTTAAATGAATTATAAATATTCATGACCTAACATCAGCTTTCCAAGTAATTTAATAATTTTAATGTAAACATTCTTACGGAGTAATGTAAACTTAATTGAATACCGTCAGTAATTAACGAATTTAGTAGTTAACGCGACAACAATGTTCAATAATACCGGGTCGATTAACAATTCACCCAGAAAAGGCAAATCATGCAGAAGATCGATTCTCTCCGGGCCAAGGTGCATTGTCTCGTGCTAGTATGACCTCACATCCACGGGGTCAAAGCTCCAAAATCAATACTGCGATTGATTATTCATGCCAGATTAAAAACATTTTTATGAAAATTATTTCTTGTATTTTCGATAGTTTTTAGACAATGGAACACAATATGAAGTCGTAAAAATTCAACTGAAGGGATGAAAAAGTACTCTCGGAAATTCGTGGATAATCAATAATCGTTCATCATTGTTACCAGTAGTTTAGGTGAGTCATCGAAGCGAAGTCGATTAAGGTCTTACTTTTCCGATATCGGCAAACTTTGATAGCTATTGTCTTGAAAATAGGTTGCCAGTCGTTGGATACATTTGAAAGTGTTCTTTTCGCTTAACTAATAATACTATGGTGTAATCTATTTTGTCGTCTTGAAAATTATAACTTCGAAACTTATTATAAATATTTAGAGTGCATCATTAAGAAGATATTTCTCTTTGATCTACTTTTGATGCAAAAAAGAAGCCTAAGCATTGATTATTTTTAAATTCAAAGTTAAACTTAAAAACAGTTTGAGAAAAAAACATCAATGTTTAGACATTGGAGAAAGGAATTCTTGGATGAAGTATATTATGTATATTTTAAAAACAGTAAAGTACTCAATTTGAAAATAAAATTTTTTAGTAAAAAACTTTCTACTTTTAATCCAAGAGTTTCAATATATTCAAAATTTGATTACTGGAATTAATATATAGTAAAGTGGTGAAGGAAATATTTAAATCAAGTATTTTTTAGTGAATGAATTTATTGAAAACAATTCAATGAAAGGAATCCTTGCAACAAAGTTTCAAAGAATCTTCACTAAAGATTTAATGTGCAACAGAATAACTAGCCATAAATCTCACCGCAACGAGAATAGATAACCTTGAGTGATCAATGCTGATTCGACGATAAATTAAAAAAAATATAAACAGCCTGATAGTAATCAATATTTATCACCTCACAATCTTTATTAGTAATAAAAATACAAGTAATTGTGATGTTGTTCTTACATCATTGAGATTTAAAGATTTCATTGTCTGTTACCGAGAACTTGTCTGACAATGTCCCTGTCAATCTTATCTCCGGTGAACTGAAAATTTAATCCCCTCGAATACTGTCCATGACATCTTCTAAATTACGTTACGAATTCAATGGGAAATAAACAGTTTTGAAGAAAAATGAATTAGCAGATTGAAACAGGTACGGAGACACTGAGAAATGGAGAAAGACTACAAAATACTAAATGTTAAACCGTTGAATCGCTTAAGATTTGAATGTATAATCTATGATTTCAAAGCTTGACAATGTAATGGTTGACGTGAATATACTCTCTACTTAGGGCTCGAGAGACACATATGGCAAGCTGCTTAGGCTGAGAGATCGATTATTTGATTAATAATGCAATGCTTAAG